TGAGTACAGGCGCTGCTGCACTTGCATGGTAGCGGAGCCGAGCCCAGAGAGGGCCGGTTCCTGCTAACTACGTTGAGCCGCGATCCAGGGCCGTGAAGATTTTTCTTTTTCGCGACTTGAACCAGTGAGCGTTCGCCCTCACTGGATGACGAGTGATGCGGTGCCCAAGAATAAGGACGGGACTCCTCAGTGGGCTGGGGACCCTGCTCTTTTCCAGTTATACGAGGAGGAATGCCTCCTCTGGGTGGAAACTCAGAGTTACCACAAGAGACACATGTGTGTTCCGAAGTTGAAGGCCGAATTGACAGGCCCAGCAAAGCGCCTCATATTAGGACAAAGTCCGAGCTGGGGAGCACATGCCACTGGTGTGCAAGAGCTCATGGCGTTTCTGCGACAGAGGCTGGGGAAGCCACAACTTCCTGAATTATCGGAGCTGTTGCTCCGATACTTTCGGGGCACGAAGAGACGTGCCCAGGAGACGATCAACGACTATGTCACCCGGAAGTGTGAAGCTTACGTCCGAGCCCAACAGTCAATGCAGAGAGTGCTCAGGGACCGTGGTGAGCCGGTCAAGAAGAGCGCCCCCACTGAAGCAGGAAGCGCCTGGCAAAGCTACCGACCATGGGAGACGAGCCGCCGGAGCAGTTGGGACTCTCGGGCGTCCCAGGAGACCCCCGAGGAAGAGCCAGCAGAAGCTACAGGTGATGGTGATGGCAGTACCGCGGCCGCTCCGACCGCCAGTGACGCAGGGGCCAGAGATGGCGCCACCGAGGGCAGCTGGACACGCCCAAACTGGGACTATGGATGGTACAGTTCCCCATGGTACACGGGCTATGGCCAGTGGGGATGGTATTCAGGATACCAGGGCTACTACAGCTGGGGCGAGGTCCAAGAGCCACCCAAGGCCCCCGAGATGCCGGAACTGATTCCTCCGTTCCTTCAAGGCTGGTTCCTTTTACAGGACTCTGGCTTGGATGTGCACGAGCGCAACATGGTACAGACGGCCTTGCAGGGAAACTTCGACCTGCAAAGGGTAGCAGCTGAACTTCGGGCCCAGTGGCCTGAGACCGAGTTGTCTCGCCGAGACAAGACGCATCGTCACAGCAGCTACTTGGGCGAAGCCATCGAGGAGGAGGACCCAGAAGAGCATCACGAGGCCTACCAGAATGACGAGCTACGGGAGGCTGGGATGACCGAAGAAGGAGTGGCACTGATGACCAGTGCCGAAGACGAAGTGCAGACGGCATTGGCAGCCCTCCAGCAGCACCGGAGGACACTTCGGGAGGCTCGCGCGAAGCAGAATGAGGTCCGCTTGTCCCGCAAGTATTATCGACCGGCCATTCCGGGAGCACTGGAAGGACGTCCAGACCTTCGTCCTCCAGCACCACCGCGCCAGGAGGACAGCATCGGCCCACCTCGGACAGCGACATGACCTGTCTGAAGTGTGGGCAGAAGGGACACCGAGCCGCCAACTGTCCGAAGAAAGAGGTGTCGTTCCAGAGCGAGCATGCCGACGAGTCGGCACCCTTCGTGTGCTTCGTGAATGAATCTAAGGCCTCCGAACAAGCCCTCAGTGCCGGAGAAGGAGATCAGATCGAACACCAGGCGTTTGGCCTGGACATGAGCACCGACGCCGCCATGCGTTCCGGGATGGCCGTCATAGACAGCGGGGCTACCAAGACTATTGGTAGCGTGACGGCCATCGAAGCATTGATGATGAAAAACAAGAAGAAGACCGGAAGCGATGGCATCATGTCCTTGGACCCTGACAACAAGCCGGTGTTCAGCTTCGGAAATTCGAGTGTCGAAAAGTGTATCTCGACCGCCCAGGTGCGATTGAAAGCTGGGGGAAATGAGGGTCGACTGAAGGTTCATTCGTTGGATAGCGGTCATGGCCCCATATTGCTTTCAATCGAGACTTTGCGTAGTTTGAAGGCTGTCCTGGATTTTGAAGCAGATCTCGTAGTGTTCCGGGGACTGGACGACAGGAAAGCGATTCCCTTGTCCAGGTCTAGCACGGGGCACCAGTTGATTTCCCTGGCCGACGATCTTTTGGATCGGGCCCATGTGACCAAGCAGGCTGTGAGCAGCCTGCGAGATCTGATTTTGCATCAAGAGTAGGGACAGCTCCTTCTGTCGAGTCACGAGCCTGCCGGCCCACAGAAGGACACAAAGCTTTTTGCAGGTAGGGATACATCGTCAGGTGTGCACGAACAGCTTTCCCGGAGTAGTGAAGGTTCTAGTGTGCATGCTGATGTGAGAGAAGTTTTTCCAATTCCACAGTCAGAGTTGCCAGAGCCCACGAAACATGCAGTGAGCAGCCATCAAGGACCCAAGAACGAGTCATCCTCTTTCTTTCCCGCTACCTCCACGCGCCATCCAGATGCCGAGCATCTCCAAGATGAACAAGACCGAGTTGGTGGAGGCGATCAGAGCACGCGGAGGGGCAGCCGACATGACCACTCGGCGCTTGGAACTGCAGCAACAACTGCAGCAGATGCTCAACGAGGAAGCTGGTGCCGAGGTTGGGGGCACTCCCAGTGCTCGTGTCGAGACGGATTACCAGCGCTACACGAACGAGCTGAACCGCGCCAGTGGCCGCAAGAAGGACTTGGTCGAGTACATGGAAAAGCGCCTGGGAATCCGGGCGTTCGAGAATTCGACGATGGCTCAGTTGACCAACATGGCCATGGGAAAGATCTACGACTTGTCGGTGGCCCACGAGACGGACCCCCTCGGCTTCGGCAAGTACGGGTCCCTCAGCTATCTGGAGGTTCTACGCGAGCACCCGGAGTATTGCAAGTGGGTTCAAGAGACGTCTCAGGAGGGAGAAGCGAATCCTCGACTTCACCGGCTGGCCCAATGGTTGAGCCGAACAACCACCGACAGCACAACGACCCCGCCAGTGCCATCGGCACCGGCGTGGAAGAGCGCCAAGGCCAAAGCAGGATACCAGAAGACCGAAATGAAGAGCGGACGAGGCCCGGTTGCTAC